AAAATTGCATTGCGGTTTGCTGCCCCTCCTACCAACCGCGAACGTTCATCACATGCAGTTTACGCAGGAAATGTGGACAATATGCCGTTTCAGTAAATAACCTGACATCTAAAATTGTTCATTTATGAAGTGCAAAAGCGTGAAACATAGGCCGTAAGCCATGGAGGTCGTTGACCTTTGTTGGGACGCCCCCCTCCCCACAAAAGTGCCAATTCATGTCACTACAGCACACATGTAGCTTACCACACGATTAGACGGTCAACCTAGAGTGTAATTTGAGTTTCTGTGAATATTTCAACAATTTTAGATGTCAGGTTATTTACTGAAACGGCATATTGTCCATATTTCCTGCGTAAACTGCACATATTGTGATGAACGTTCGCGGTTGGTAGGAGGGCAGCAAACCGCAATGCAATTTTTCCCCAACATTGGCAATGAACCCTCGCTTTAGATTACGGGCTTTTTTAATACAAAGGAGTAATTTACATTCAGCGAGGAAGTGATTTACCATATATCGCTACGGAAATGTTGACGGAAGTCTGAACAATATGTCCTAGCACCCCCGAAAATAGTATGGTCCTGTGTCTACATTAACATAATCTATGCCAGGATGTAATAATCACTATTTGATACTCCTAATTAATAAACGTGTGGAACATTGCATGCAAAACAAACAAAATTTTCTCAAAGTGTAAAGTATATTATGTTTTAATAGGTTTAAAATAAATTTAGTTGCCTAGAATGGTAAATAGAAATATACCGCCATAATAAAAATGGGAGCATCCACATTAAAGCAAAATGAATGTCGCTTCGCCAGCCACCAAAAAACTTCGCGAAGTACACACAGAAAAAAACAAGTGCCCATAGAAAATACAAAGTGCCCATAGAAAATACAAAGTGCCCATAGAAAATACAAAGTGCCCATAGAAAATACAAAGTGCCCATAGAAAATACAAAGTGCCCATAGAAAATACAAAGTGCCCATAGAAAATACAAAGTGGAATAAAAATGCTAAGTGTACCTATGGGCCTTCGTAAAGTAGTAATTGATACTGTCAAAATGCATTTGTCGATTATAACAGAAGTTTTACTTTACCTAACTTCATAACTTCTTTTGTTTTGCAGTTAACAAAATATCCTTTAAAAAAAACAATATACAAATTGGAAAATCCAGCTATGTCAGCATTCAGCAGAAAAACATTCTGCAATGGTGTTATTCAAATGGTTCTCTCAACTTCGATAAGATCACAATGGGAAAACACTCTGTCGCCTTTGTGATGAATCCTCAACCGGTGTATCACGTTGGAGACACGCTCTTCATCAAGATTGTAGCCAGAGATGCAAAACACAGGCCTAAGTTTTACGGAGGGGATTTTTTTCGGGCCAAGCTGTTCAGCAGAGTCCCTGTAAATGCTAGCACTGCTGGACGGATCACAGACTACGAGAATGGGACTTATGTCGCAAGATTCTTTCTTAGTTGGCCAGGAAGTCTCTCCGTTTCAGTCCAAATCATCCATCCAAGTGAGGCTGTGCAGGTTTTCAAAAGGTCCAAAACAGTAGCAGGCGGATCGTGGTTTGCGGCTTTTCTCATGAAAGCAGGAACGTGACTGAGTGGATGCCTTGCTAAAACAATGCCAACAAAAGCATTAATCCACGTGACGTGTGCGACTTTTCTAAGCCATTCATCAATGTAACTTTCTACTGCCAACGTCCAGAACTGAGTCGCTGTGACAGTATTGCGGATTGCCAACGAGACCGGGATAAGATAGTGTCGCTGCATAACATGTTAACTAATGTTGACGAACGGAATATGCTTCTAAGGTAATGTTAATGATGGGTGATAAAATTTGAGGGCATAAATATATGGATTTATTGTTACTAAAACATATTCCCTAATATGTTACACTATGTGTATATTTATTAATTTCAATGATCAGTGCCAGAAGTAATAACTTAATGTAAAAAAGTAAATATAATGCAAAGACGAAGATACTGATGATAAGATTAAATTATTTGCATAAACATTATTATTCTTATCATCTATGGGTTTGTTTTTCAGCAAGGTATCTAAATAATTCTTTTTCCCGTCTTGTAGAGAACTCGATATTGAGGATCTGTTGTCGAGCATCGAAGGAATCCAAGTCAGGGGCAGACGTAAGTATTTATACTTTTAATGACGTTATCTCCTTTTTCCCCAATGAATGATTCGTTATTATTTTTTTTAATATACAATCATTAAATATGTCTGGTTGGCACTAATTTAACGTCCACTAATTTTTCTTCCTTTTTATCTAAATAAAAATCGTCAAACTCATAGTATTTTTACAGGAAACCATGTGTTGTTTTTCCAGGTATTTTCAACAGAATTGGAGAAAAACCACAGCAACTCTGCGCTCCAGGACTGCCAGAAACATCGTCTGAAGGGTACTGGTTTAACGGAACGTGGTATTCACTTAAATGTCAATCACGAAAGTTTCCCTCAGTTCGATCTGTGTTCGGATGCCTGCGGAATAAATCAGTGCTCTTTTTTGGTGATTCAACGATTGCACAATGGTGGACATTTCTAAAGAATCTTCCTGAATTACCACATACCGGCTCAGTTAAATATCACGCAGCTGCAGTATACGGCGAATATAATACAACATTAGAATGTACATTTCACCATTTTCCAAGAAACGCAGTTAATCACAAACAAAAATTTCTATTTAAGACTTTTCACTATTTAGCAGAAGAAATAGACCGAATTAAGGGAGGGCCTAATGTTGTGCTAGTTTTAGGGCTATGGGGTCACTATACTGCGGAGCCAATTGAAACATTTCGTTCACGACTTTACGGAATTCGCTTCGCCATAGAGCGACTTCATAGTCGTTATCCAGACACAAAGGTCATTTGGCGAACAAGTAACACCCGCGAACATCATCGGTTGTTCCATTACATAGAAAACAGTGATTGGTATGCTTATCAGTTGTTGCTGGAAGCCAAATTTTTAAAGGTCTTAATATCGCAATCATAGATGTCTGGAAATGACGTCCTGTATGTGGCATGATCCTATTATGCATGTACCCGAGGACGCTGTAAGAAACATGGTAGATTTGCTATTGTCATACATCTGTCCCTTGTAATCAAGACAGGGCGAAGTACCCAAAATGCGGGTTGAAATTCCTACATCTACGAATTAGTTACATCAGGTAACATTTGCATGGAGACAGTTGATGATGCTAAACCATCATATCTAGGTTTTGGTAGCGTTCGATTATATGACAATTATGCAAATTTGATTTACTCTGTATGGTTAACAAGTTAAATTCCGTAAATCCGCTATGTTACATGATAGGGATATTAGGAACGGTGTCAGATACTGAGTATGTAAAAGGAGGCATAAACAGCATAAATAATAAGAAAATATAATAACCCCATGGCAGTAATTTTTGGGATTTTGTCATTACGTGCAACGTTTGGAAGTTGTAAAGGTGAATATGATTATGCATATCTTATTTTCGAGAGCTTTTGTATATGGTGAGCCACAAGTGGAACTTTCTGGTATTATCATTATAACTGTTACAGGTTTTTCTGACCTCCTCCCATCTGTGATTTCTAAACAATCTAAGCTACTTTGTACATACTGTATGTAATGTAATTTGGTGCAATGTGCTCGCTTGTAAGTTAAAGACTGACACGAGGGGAATTTTTATATTGATAAATGTTACAATTGTTGTGTTCCTATATAACGTAACACTTTGTACAACAATCTCCTAGCTTTACTCGTGTTTCCATACTCACGATACAGTAACGTGTATAGTAAGGAAAACCAATACTGGTCATGCAAACTACTCAACCATATAATTTTACTCCTCGAAAATTCATTAAAATATTGACGTACCTGCTTGCTGCACACTGCCAAAAATTTGCTTAGATCATGGAACTAGTGGCCTTGTGCTGTAACTCCATACCTAAATGTTCAAAAATTATGTAACGTTTTCTGAAAGGGCACTAATCACTGCAATTATCTTTCTCCGTTATTGTTAATGTTACATGTAGAAAACAAAGTTGAGCTTTTAAGGATGGGTCATTCTTTGCACGGCCAGTACCAAGCACTGCAGCAAAAGAAAAAAAAAAAGTCACCTTCCAAATTTATCAGCACAGATTAATAGAGTTACTTATCATGAAAGTTCATCTGTGTTGGTAGTAATCATAGTAAAACGTTAAACTTTATTCCAACACACTATTTACAGGGATCAAATTTTCAGCGACTACTGTCGCCTTCATCAGGATAATTAATGACCAATCACTTCACAACGTGATCTTGCGAGAGTTACGGTTTACAAACACGTGACTTCACTCACACGAGACTTTACTGATACGTGACGTAAGCAATTGACCAAAAACTCCCTGGCACTTTTGATCAATTGCTTACGTCACGTATCAGTAAAGTCTCGTGTGAGTGAAGTCACGTGTTTGTAAACCGTAACTCTCGCGAGATCACGTTGTGAAGTGATTGGTCATTAATTATCATGATGAAGGCGACAGTAGTCGCTGAAAATTTGATCCCTATAAATAGTGTGTTGGAATAAAGTTTAACGTTTTACTATAATAGAGTTACTTCTTTACTTTACAATGCATAAACTAGAAAATCTGTGTGAAAGTACTTGCAGATCTTTAACAACAAGGAACACAAAACAAGGAAGTTTTGCAAGACCAGTGCTTTGTTCCTTTGTTACTGGTCAACTGCATAATTTGTGCTCATTGTTAAGCTAAACAATGGTGGCAAAGCTTGTCAATCTTGTGCCTTTCATCATCACGAGTGAATAAAAACAATCCTACAAACTCAGGAAAAGCCTTGCTGATTGTTTATCCTATGGTTCCTATCTATCATATATACAACCAAGGGCATTAAACAAATAATATCCTTGATACAACAGACTCACCTCAATTTCTGTATGGTACACCGTCCGCCATCTTGGATGGGATGTTTCAAATGGCACGAGTATGAGCCACCTCAATATACTCTCGAAGCATAGGTTTGGGCTTCGGGTGTATTTTTGGCGTGTTTTTATTATTTGCACAGGAATTCGAAAAAAAATTGCTTGGTTGAAAAAAATCCAGCAGAAAAAAGAAACCCCGATTAAAAAAAAAAAAACTAAAAACACGTCAAAATACACCCAAAACACAAATCTCTGCTTGGATGCAAAGTAGCAGGAGGGGTAGTTTGGCATGGTGGGAGGAGTACCTACGGCAATTATCGCCTTGTCTGTTGCATATTTACAACCTTCTACTACAACCTTAGCTCATTTTAATGCCATTATAATATTTAAATTAAATTTTTCTTTGGGAAAAGTCAGCGCGTCTTAGGTACACAGAGAATGGAAACTTTTGAAGGCTAAAATCAAGTACAAAAGATGGTAGGTTATATACACACTGGTGACCTGTCCTCACGTCATATTATGGCATCACGTGATTGTGTGTGTAGTAGTTTCGCGATGTAAGGCTTGTTTCTATATTCAAATATTTTATTCATCATAATCCATCTATGTGGGTTTCACAGGATAATATCTTTATTACATCTCATTGATAAAGTGCAAAGATATTCAATCGTTCCCTATATGTAACACATTGGACATCAGAGGTGGTCTACATTGAGGACAATTTCCACCATTCAATAATGCGAATTCTATATTCACTGATAAAGTTTAGAATGCCATTGATTGCCAATCTATCAAACAGAAAGTGACATTACATCGGCATAAATGCACTTACATACCATTATACATATGATTTGATCTATTATACATTGTACATATGTAGCAACGCCTCCTGTTTGGGAAATTACAGAATATTCTTTAAAGTTGTCACACCATTTTTAACTGCTTAGATTGTACGCATGTAACCATTTACATTTACATGGTAAGATATTTAATCAAGATATCTACACTATTACAGTATAACAATAAAGTGAATGACACTTATCCAAGTTACATAAAGTTGAATTTGGATAGAGCGAATTTGGATCATCGCATATAATTTTCAGCAGAGGCGCAGCCAGAGAGGGTCTGCATCGAGTGCAGAGGTCGAGGAGACAGGCAGTCCTGTGTCTCCGTCTGAGCGAGAGTGTTTATGTTGTGAGGGCTAGCCTTTATAATAGCCTCCGGCTAGTTGGGCCATCCTGGCTGTATACTTATGTCTTATACAGTCTAATAAATCAAATCAAACCCACCATGAGGTCCATATTTATATTTCAGTCCATACCATGGTATGGATGAAATATATTGTGTTCTCTCGTGTTTCTTCTCCTCCTTCTTCTCCTCCTCCTGCCACACAGTCAAAGGGATTCAACTCCGCCATCATTCAGCCAAATGACTTGAAATTTGGCATGGAGGTAGAGTGAGCCAATACCCCAAGGAGTTTTTTTCATTTTTTTGATACATGCCTTTGAAACATTTTTAAGAAGGTTTTTGGGGGCATTTTTCGCCAAAAAATGGATTTTTGGATCCTGAGCCCTGGTTTTACAACCAAATGATCTGAAATTCGGTATAAGGGTACCTTGAACATGTGTCTACAGAATAGCAGTCACGTATTTGGCATACACCACTTCCAAATGACTCATTTGGGGGACTTTGATGGCTATTTTCAGCAAAAAAAGGGCCAAAAGTGCTATACCCGTTCCATGTTCTATCTAAAGAATGGCCTGTTCCATCTGCCGTTGGCCATGGAACACGTGTTCCATTGCGGGTACCTGAGGTCACATTGCACGTAAGTCGTGCGGAATGACCCACACATTCAATTTTGTGTGCCTAAGACCTTCAAAATGTATCAAATCTCATCATTGTTAGTAGTTGCATACCTGTAATAAGACTAGTAAAGCTTTCGAGATTCAAAGTGCTTGTTCTTGGATCTTTTGTTCTCAATTACATAGCTACTATATAATTCATTTATTTGAGAATCTTTGCCAGTTTTACACTGGGGTAAGTTTGGAATAGTCCACTTTTGCGTGGGAGGGGGGTAGACTGAAATATGCTGTATTTGCTCCCAAGCAAATGTCGGCCTCTCTAGTTGACCTTGACTTTTGTCTTCCTAAGACCTACCAGCAAACCAAATATCATCACAATCATAAAGGCCTTATAAAGTTATATTGACTACAAATGTGCGGAAACACAAACACAAACACACATACAGATACAGACACACACAGACACGCCCAAAAAATACCTCCATTTTTCATGGAGGTAATTTGCAACAGATTCACTGAACAGCCTTTTCCGAGCTGACAAATTCCGTACTACGTAAATGGCACAATCGTGATCGCCACCAAAATGTCATTGAGTCAAAGGTGTTGAGTAAAATCTTTAAAATATGTCCATAAACCTTCAAATTAATTCAAGCCTCTCAACACAAGCAGACACAGCCGCTCCTTCAAACACCACTGCAACTGACCACGCTTCATTGGTCGGCGTCATGTACATGTGTCTA